GACAGATGGGAGACGAATATGGACCATGATATTCTCGGCCAGCATGATGCGGCAAAGAGCGGACATGTGGGATCAGAGCAAAGTCGGCGTCAAGAGGCATTCTTCCACATCGGGAATGAGGGACTGATGAGCCTCCCCTTGAACGGGCCTGCAACGGATCCTCGGCAGGCTGATCCGAGACTGAACCAAGATTCACCTCAGACACGACGACCGCCGCCGCCGCCGCAGACCCACGCCTACCATGCTACCAACCCGAACGCAGCCGGTGGCAGCCCGACATTGCCTTATGGTGTCAACTCGCCTCAGCCACTTTACCGCAGTCAAGCAGATCCACAACCGGCGCGCGAGGTTCAAACTCACGACCAGCCCTCCTACCGGCTTGTCAACCACGGCCATGCGATCACGTCGGATCGACGGGACAGTTTCGCGAGGTCGCCGCCCAACCCTCGTTTCCAGCACGAAAGGAGACCACCTTTCATACCGCCAGGGCCCAGTGGCAGACCCCTTCCTTTTTCTCTCCCTCTTCCTCCCCCTCCTCCCCCTCCTTCTGACTCTTTATTTTATCCTGGTGGCGGTAGGAAATACGTCAGGACCGCGACATCTCCTCAAGCGACTCCGCCAGGGGATGCCTTCGCTTTGAACCAACCGAGGCTCCTTGCCAATCAAGGTGTGTATCTACGGTGCTCCTCCCACCGCAAAAGGGAAAATAAGGAAAGAAGAAGGTGGACGCTGCCCCCGAATCGCTCTTCCACCCGAAACACTCCCGGAGAGAGTGAGGCTTGGGTTGTGTGCTCTTCCAATGCTTGATGGCATGTATGCTGATCAAACAGGAGGGGATTTTCCTTCTCACCATTTCTTAACTCAGATCCGCAAGCGACGAGCCCGACGCAATGGCCTTCTCACGTCCAGCTTCCAAAGAGGGGGTCTTTAGAGCTATATATGCCTCGCACCGAGCTTCCGCCGGCGAGAAGAGCCTCTGACCAAGAGATTTCGCAACATCGTGCGCGTCGAGATTTCCCCTCGGGCCCTCCTTTCTCTCCCTTGTCGCCACCATATCCTTCACCTCATGATCAAGTAGTACCTAGCTTGACGCGCGGTGAGTCCACAGGCAGCGACATGGAGCCGAGATTGTACCTTGGGATGACTGGCAAGCTGATCTTTTGACCCTCGTCCCTACATTCCCTTCCTCCAATCCACTGCCTTCCCCCGCTGCCCTTCCCCCCCGGGTAAATCAAGATGCTTACGGGCCAGTCGCAGGACCTTCTCGCCTCTCGCATCCATCCGGGCTGCCGGCTGTGGATGCCCATGGAAATCCGGGAATGTTCCCAGACGCCAGGATGATGATGCCCGTCTATCCTGCGAGCATGCACAACCCTCAACCTCAGCCACCTACCCTTGGTCCTCCCACTTTCGATCCGTCGGACCCACCCAGGGCCAGGGTCGCCTGCACTTTTTGCCGAGCGCGAAAGCTACGTTGCGATGGCTCTAATCCCTGCAGGCACTGCGAGAGGCGATCTTTGGATTGTGTTTACGCACCGACGAAAGCAAAGGCCAAGCACAATCAAGCAAGCGGCAACGCAATTGCGACCGATTCAGGAGCTCCGCCAAGAGCCCCCACGCAAGCCTCGCGAAAGGCCAAGTCGGGGAGAAACGATGGCGAGAGAAGCCCGAGGCTGCCGGCTCTTCTAGAGGCGCCGGTCACCACGGCCTCGATTGGGAGAAGTGTCGCTCCGAAGCATCTTCTTCCATCGGTCCTTCTGGCATCTGCAGACCCACCGCATTCTCAGCAAGCCAAGCGGCGTTCAGAACATGATCCGGCTTTCGTACGGCAGGCATCGAAAAGGAAAGGTCGAGAAACGCCACCACCGTCCTCCGAGCCTTCCTCATCGAGGCATGAAGAAGGCCCACCGAAGAGACGGCCAAGGGAGAACGAGTGGAACAGTCTCCCGTCGCCGCCCCAAATGGCGACCTGGGAAGGGAGGGCGACGCAGAGATTGGCATCGACTTCGGCTTCGGCATCGCTTGTGGCAGGGGAGGGTGGAAGGACGGACCAAGAACTAGAGCTGTTTTCCTTGGGTGGGAGCTCGAGATCAGCGGGCGACGGCGGCTTCTCTGCCGGATCCGATCTTGCCATGTTGCAAAACGCCGATTTCAGCCTGCCTGCCCAGCCTGCCGCCGACTTTGGCAATGATTGGTGGGACCATCTGATCCACCTGCTCGGACGGTCGAGGCAATTCGGCACCAAGCTGGTCCACTTGCTGCTGAAGCGTTTCATGCAGTCGAATGCCGTCTTTTTCGGGCTCCTGCACGCCCCGACGCTGCTCGACAGCATCTCGCGACCCGAAAGGAGGGCTGCATCCCATCCGGCCGTCTACTTTGCTGTGCTGGCCGTGGCAGTGATCGACATGTACCGCGGACCGCTGTCCGAGCCCTACACGGCTGACATGCGGGCCGCAGACCAGGTCTCGCTCGAGCTGTCAAATCGATTCAGCACGGTTGCGATGGACTATATCAACGCATCGATGAATGCCGAAGACAGCTCGCGCGTTTCGATCGCGCAAGCTGCCAGCATTTTGGCCCTGATCCAGCCAGACGGCAGCGCAGCCCAGGATAACCTGATCCGCTTGGTGGAGAACGTGGTGCGCTCGTTGGGCCTGGCATCCGTGGTCAGCATCATGGGCCTGAGCCCGGGTAGAAGGACCAAGGTCAGGCTAAGGAGCCCGGAGTACTACGAGAAACCTCCATCGAGGGTCAACACCGAGACCGAGGTCAAGTTCGAATCCTTGGTCCGTCTGGCCTGGACCTCTACTAGTCACAGGACTCGCCGCATCATTTCCAAGCCTGATGAGAGCTTGAACCCGGCCGCTGTTCCGACATTCGTCGAGGAGCTCCGTCCGAGCGCCTACTGGCAACCCTCTACGTTGCCAGAAGACCTCCCAGAGGTTTTCTTCAAGGCTCAGGACCTCTTGACCAAGAGTGCCGAGTTGGCCAAACTCACCTTCAGGATCGCAAGGTTGCCCGCATCGAACGACGCGGCCAGTGCGCCAAGAGAAGCGTTCGACGCGCTCACTCAGCTCGATGGCCTGGAAGAGGCATTCCAGCACCACCTGCCCGAATCGGAAGAAGACTTCGGGTCCATCCTTGGGATGACGCTGCAAATGTTCTGCAAGCTTCACGTGTGGTCCCGGGTCCAGCTGTGGAGAAACAATGGCATTTGGCGGATGTCATCCTCTGCGGCGGAGCCCTTAGCTCCCACCATCGAACTGTGGCTTAAGCTCTACGGAGGACTGGTGGCCAAGCTCCGAAGCGATCTGGACTCGCATGTCAGTTCTGGAACGAGGATGCAGATGGGGTACGCCGAAGTCGATTCTGCCGTCCGACACACTCGCGTCATCCTCGAGATCACCAAGGCATCCAACCAACCGGACAGGACGATCAGCCTGATCGACTCAATGCTGGGGACCCTCAAACGAATCTTGGCCTGGAGCAAAGGGCAGGGTAGAAACGACCTGGTCGACGAGGCCATGGAGGCGAGACTGAAGAATGTCGAAAGGATGAGAGCCGAGCACAGCGTTAGGAGGAGTTACCTCGAGCTCCGCTCTTTCCAGAGCGAGCCGAGTGAGCAGGATGATGCCAGGAGGGTGAAGGTGGAGAAGGACAAGGGCAAGGGCAAGTCGAAGGAGGTGATCGTCAGCCCGCCAGCCTGGCAACCTGTGAACGAGAGCCCTTCATCGCCGTCTTTGGCCTCTGCACGTTCGTTGCAGAGCAACGGCTCGTGGATCGACGGTGCCGTCGACGAGGAGGAACGGGCTAGGAGGAGAGCCTCGGGACGAAAGAGGTCGGCAGACAACCGACTGGCCGAACAGTTCGTCAGCGGCGATTGCAAGTAGAACCGTCTGACCTGACCTCGGAGCGTCGTTGTCGTCAGAAAGGCTCCTGAAATTCGCGTGAGTGTTTCCACGCGCGTTCCGGTCGATCCGGAATGAGAAAGAAAAAGTGCGAGGGGGAAGAGGAGAGAGCCAGTCTGGCAACTGGGATATGGAGCGTGCAAGGCTTTGCGCTCCTTTTTGGGGACCAAAGATGAATCAGATTCTTGTTCATCCATCTGCGCCTTAGCTCGCCCCAAAGTGGGCGAGTGCCTGGGCGAGAAACGGAACTGGGTTAATAGGCCACCTCCGCTTATGCTCATCCACTTCTGTCGCGGCCCGCCGAGTCTCCGCTGGACAAATCCCTTGGAATGACGCGGATGCGGCGGTTGAGCGGAAGGTGGATGAGCAAAGGGAGGTGCGTCTCCTTTACTGATGGGTCCTTTGCTGAAATTGCTGGGAATCTGTAGTTGGTGAAGAAGAAGAAGAAGAGGAAGAAGACAAAAAGACACTTGTCTTTGAAAAGCAGCGAATACTGAAACTCCTTCCAACTCCCCTTCCCCTTTTCCCAGGTTGACTTGTAGGAAACTTTCCTTTTTTATTTCTGTCAAAAGTCCCTCGTGGCATGCACGTATTGCACGATCCTCTCTCATGTACTTTTATAGTGGGGGCGAGAAAGAGAACCTCCAACCCAGCGGCCTCTTGTCTCCTCCACCGACCACCAACGGATTCGGATCCTGCTTTTCTAATTCCCTCCTGCAAAACTTTACCCTCTCTCTCTCTCTCTCTCTCTCTCTCTCTCTCTCTCTCTCTCTCTCTCTCTCTCTCTCTCTCTCTCTCTCTCTCTTTTCCCCCCTCTCCAGGTTGAACTCCATTTATTCCTTCCTTCCCTTCTTCTCACCTCGCCAAATCGTCGTTCTCTAGCATCCTTGCATCTCGTTTTTATTTTTCCTACTTCCGTCTTGTTTTCGATGAGCTTTTGAACCAGTTGCATTCGACTTGAATTGGCTTGTCGTCTGAGATGGTGTTGCGAGATTCTTGTTCGATTTGAGCAATCGTTTCCATCTCTTGTGCCTTTTGCCAAATTAATCCCAGTGTACATATATTGAAGTTTTGCGACTCTTGTCATCATTAGGCAAGTTGGCCGAGTGGTCTAAGGCGCAGTGTTAAGGATATCCTTGAGAAAAGAAGTTCTGACAGAGTTTTCCCGCTGTCTTCGGGCGTGGGTTCGAATCCCACACTTGTCAAATTTTTTCCCCATCCCTGACCTTACTCTCTTTGTTTGAGGACTTGGAATCAACCTCAATTTTTTTTCAAAATGGCAGGGGGAAGGGTCAAGAAGAGGGGGTCTAGCTGCGTTTTGTCGGCGTGGCGCTTACCCCGTGCCGGCCGCTTGACGGAACGGGGGAGGGATGATGGAAGACGAAATGGGGATGAGGAATCTACTTGGTTCGTTGCGCTGCGGAGGTAGAAAGGGAGCACGCGAGAGTAGAGTGAGGGAGAGAAGGTGAGTGTAAAACGTGCCCCTTGCCCTCTCTGGAAAGTTTGAATGTGGATCGCATGTCTCTTTTCTTTGTCTTTTGTTTTTTTTTTTTTTAATCTATTTCTTCGAGTCAGGGAGGTGAGTGAGGAAGGGAAAAGTTGGACCGATGGACGGATGGAGGGTTTCGTTTGGTTTCCACACACGCCTTTCAACTTGGACCGTCGGGCGGATCAGGGAAGGAGATCTGGAGATAGGTGGAAGGTAAGATTCATTGGCACGGCACTTTAGATGGGGAGGGGGCAAATCGAAGGGAGGAGCGAGCGAATCGTCGATCGAGAATCCTCTCGGCAGCTTCAAGCCTGGAGTTGTGCGGGAACCCTTTTTCCCCAGGTGGCTGCCTCGCTCTTATCATTTCCTGCCGAACCCAGCCAGTCCTCCTCTGCGGGTTCCGGGGCTGAAAAGCAGGTGAGTTTGGGACGAACGATGGAAGGAAGTTGGCATCCATCCCCCACCTCCTTCATCCACCCTTGCCAGTTCGCTTCAACCAAGATCCGTTGGAACAGGGAGGATTTGAGGGTGAACGATTCCACTCCGCTTCCTTTCCTCCTTTCCTTTTTCCTGTTCCTTTTTGGATTCCTTCTTCATCTCCTGGGTTCCTGATTCGTGTTTTCGAGGGGAGTCACATCAAAGGGGTGGGAGCGGGAAGCGCGTTGCGATCCACTGCGAGAGAGGGCAGGCGGAGGGAGAGGGAGAGGGAGGGGAAGGGGGAAAGAAAGCGTTCTGGGCCGAACCTTTTCACGTTTCCATCCCTAATCTCCGTTTCGAATCAGTCCATGCTTGAGGGGTTTTTTTTATTCTTTTTTTTGGCCTTTGCCTTCCCCGCTCCTCCCAACTTGCTTCATCCATGTCGTCGTCCTCGTCGTCGTGGAAAGTACAGCCAATCACCTTCCCCATCCTTCTTCTCCTTCTCCTTCTCTTCACTCTCACCTCCGCTCCCCCCCCCCTCACCACAAACCGATTCGGACGATCTCCGTTGGCCACCTCGCTTAGCCAACTTTTTTTATTCCCTCCTTCCTCCACCTTTTTCCTCCACCACACCTTTCTTCCCACCTTTCCACCAACCCAACGTCTTCGAACACTCTAGGCCCTCCATGTTCGACCCCATCCGCTCTCGTGCTTGATCTACCCTTTCATCCCATCCAACTCCAACCTTCTCCTCCGTCTCACCTTCCTACCTGCTTACACACCCAAGCCTCGACCGAACAACCTTTCTGAGAAGCACGCATACGTACTCCCAAACCCTCCTCTCCCTCCCTCCTCTTTCACCTTCTCCTTCTCCCTCCTCTACTCTATCTCTACACCTTACTCCAAGCCTCCCCCTTCTCGGAAAAGCCGTGGTGACCCAAGATGACAAGGGGTAGGAGACCGAACCTGTCGCTAGAGCCCACCCGCTCCCTTCAGACCCAGAGAGCATTCAGGCAACGAAAAGCCGAATACCTCAAGGGCCTGGAGGAGAAGGTAAAGTTCCTCACCGAGGAGAACCAAAAGCTCAAGAGGTCCCTAGGCATCCTCGATGAAACCAACGGTGACCCCCTGGTGGGGACCAACTCTTCCGGCCTACTCACACCCTCACCCAGCGTCACCAACAACCTTCCACCCTCCAGCTCACCGGAGCGATCCTGTTCCGACAGTGGGTCCAGGAAGGCGCCTCAGCAAAAGAAAGCGTGAGTTCATCTCTAGCGATGCTCCTCTCCTCCATACCTCGCATCCGTGCGCACTTCGGAAGAGAATCAAAGGAACGATCTTCACCAGTTCCCTTCCCTGCTGACATGGCCTCTACTCCCCTCCACCTTCCACCTCGTTTCTATCGCCAGGCCATCCAAACCCACCAAATCGGGGGGGAAAGGCCCTCGAAGGGATCCTCCGGCCGCCGCACCTCTGCTCGGAAACGTGGCCGAAGAACCTGGGCCCGATCCTACTCCATCCTCCTCCAAGTCGTACCTCGGCAACCTGGATCCTCAGCCGGACGCAAGCCATCGACCAGTTGCTAGGGAGGCGATGGCGGCCGTGACTCCTCCCATTTCCTCTCACTCACACAAGAGGCAGAGGACGGATGGTTCGCACGATGGACGCAACGATCACCAATCCACATCGGTCTTGCCATACCCGCCTGGCTCATCCAATCCGCACAGGCTTCCCTCGCTCGAGTCGGCCACCGCCCCGCCGCCCTACATGTCCGGTATGACATTCCAGGGGTACCCTCCACCTTCCTCCCGGGTCCAGAGCCAGCCCTCCTGGCCCCCTTCCATCGGCGGCTCATCATTCTCATCCTGGCACCAACCTGGATCCCATCATCCCTACGAGCCCCTACACTCTCTCCATCCGACCCCGCATTGGCAGCCGCAGCAACAACAACAACAACAACAACAACAACAACAACAACAACAACCACAAGAAGAACAACGACAGCAACCATTCTCTTCTCCATATCTTGTGCAACGACCTCCCCATCCTGCTGTCGCCCCCCAGGGATCGCCCTCGTCCCGGTACGAGGCATTTCAGTACGGCCATCCGTATGCGATCCCTTCTCCTCCGCCATCCACCACCATGCCGGACTTGGAGGAGGATGATGATCGTCACAGTCGGTATCCCACTCAAGCCCAGGCCCAAGGTATGGAAGACAAGGGGAAGCCCCACGGGCGCGAATCCCGACACCCTGATTCAAGAAGGGGCTCGGCCATCTTTGGGATCTCGACACCCACACCCTCCTCCTCCTCCTCATCAACCTCCACCTCCTCTTGCTCATTGACATCATCAGCATCGTACAAGATTCATCCGCGGTCTCGAATGACAGGTTCCGGAGGGATCCCAACCGCGGGGGTGGAGGGGGGGAACGATCAAGGTTGCCGAGATTCAGGGACTATCGGAGGAGGAGGTGGCGGCGGCGGCGGCTGCTGTGGAAGCAGCAAGGAGCGAGGGAAAGAGGAGGGAGCGGACGGGGCGAAGCGATCAGGGGAAAGGTCGGGCGAGCAAAAGGGCCCCAACGTGAAGGGCGAGAAGCAGGTGGTGACGGGAGCCAAATGCTACTCGCCCACGACGGGCAAGGCAAAACTGTGCAAACCCCAGTCACCACCATCCAAGCTTGCCGTCGTGCCGAGTCTGGACGTACCAGAACCGTCGGGCGCGAGTGGCCAGGGTCAAGACGCTGGGGTGGTGGAGACGCTGAAGGATCCGATAGGGATCACGTTCGACATGAAGGGTCCAAACCCTTCGGACGAGAAGTGCTGCTTCGGCCTGGTCGAGTGCGACGAGAACGGAAACATCCTCATCTGATCTCGTGCCTCCTTTCCTTGGTTTCGTTCTTTTTGTCTTTTCGCCTCGTGCGCCAAGATCCTCCTTTTCTTTTCCCCGACCTCTTTCTCTCCATCTTCTTCTTTTCCTATTTCCTCCTTTCGGATCGTTGCACGTGTGTGTGTATGTACGGTAGAGATGTGTAATTCTAGCTTTGGATCCGTCGCGCATGGTGTGCTTCCTTCCCCCTCCCCATCGAAACGGAGGGGAGGGGAGGAAACGCCGTAGGGGATGGTTTGATGCAGGGAAATTTGGGTCGGTGCTCGCTCGACATTGGTACCGACGAGCCGGTCTGGAGAGGCGAAGGGGGGGGAGGGGGAGAAGGAACTGCCTGCGGGTTTCATTACGAGTTGGGCGGGTGGGGTTGGACAAAAAAATAGTAGAAAAATCTGCACTGAACGGGAATCGAACCCGTGCCACATGCTTTCACGATTCGATCGAATGGAAGGCAGGTATTCTACCACTGAACTATCAGTGCTTGATGTTGCTTTCAGTCGATGTGCACATTATCAACACCTGTCACAGCTGAAAGGAAAGTGTCGGATTTCTTCTTCTTTCGGGGCCCAAGAGTCTGGCAGAAACTTCACCCCCTCCCTCCCCTTTCTCTCTCCACACCCCTCCCGACCAAACCTCGGAGGTGGTAGGTGAAAAGAGAAAGGGAAGGGGTAGGGTGGATATGTCTCCAAAGAAGCCCCGAGGGAATGCGATTCGGAGGAGAACCCCCCCCCCCCCCCCCCCCCCAAGTCGAGCTAGAAGTTTCTTTCCCCCTTTCTTTCATTCTTTCCAAGAGGAAGGGTGCGAGTGAGATCGAAAGGGGGGGGGGGGGTTTCGGGAGAAAGAAGAAAGGATGGTAAACGACAAAAGAGGTAGGGAGTGCAGGGGAAAAAAGGGGGGGAAAGAGGTCCCTTTCACCAGTGAACCTCGAGAAGATCGTCGTCGAGGATGTCAAAGTCGGAGATGGTACAAGTTGGGTTGAGGACTTGACCTTCAAAGTGAATCCTGACTTGGGAGGAGCCGACGAGACCGTGGGTCTTGACAAAGTGATCCGAGATGGAGGAGATCTTGGTGGTGGGTCTGACCGTCACCCTCATCTCGAGGTTGGATCTTCCTCGTAGCGTGAGCGTCATGACCTCCTCTTCAAGCGTGGAGGGGCGTGCAGGTTCCCTCTCTACCTCCTCTCCTTCTCTTCTTGGACCCTCCTCCTGATCATCGTCATGATCCGAATCGGAATGCTCGACCGACTCGGGGTTCCGGAGACTCGGTTCTCCGTCCTCGGAGGAATCCACCAGGTCCACCACCTCGATCCTCGTCTCCTTGGTCGTGTTCTTCGATGGTTTGCGAGGACTCTTGCTGACCTTGGGTAAGCTGGGTCTCAGCACGTATTCGACACTTTTCACGCTTCCTTCCGATTCTTCTCCCGACGGGTCTTGACCTGGTCGATCGATCACTTCGGGAGGCTGGGAGAAGTAAAGGGAGAGAATCGCCAGATACGTTGAGGACAGGAAAAGGGAGAGAGAGAGAGGGGGGGAGGTTTTCACTGGACAAGAGAAACACGAGACAACTCACAGCCGCGCTACCCCTGGCGCTGACGCCGGCGCTAGCTTGCCTTCTTCTCCTGGCAGCAGCCTCAGCCCTCTCTGCGTCTTCCCTCCTCGCCTTCTCCCTGATCTCCTTCTCCTTGGTCCCCTTGTAGAAGCGAGCCAGATCGGGGTTGAGCCTGACCGGTTCGTCCTCGAGCAAGTCGTCCTCCTTTTCCGATTCCCCCGACAAGCTCCCGTCGGGATCCATCGCTCTACGGATCAGGTTCTTGGCGGCAAGGAGTTCTGCGGGAGAGCGACGGCAAAAGGAGAGGTTTTGTTTTAGGAGGGTTGGTTGATCGAGGCGCAATGATGATGATGATGACGACGACGATGATGAAAAGGTCAGGCCGGTTGATTCCATCGCAGTGGATCGTGAAGGAGAAGGCTTGTCGCTAGCTTGGTGGTGAGATACTCAACGGTATTCCGGAACCTCTGGCGGTGGTGTCAAGCTGACCCTCCTCCTCTCCTTGGGTTTGGGAGGCTCATGGTCGGACCTCCTCCCGCTGGATCTGCCTCCCTCATCTTGATCGGAGAGGGTGATGACGACCTTGCTCGAGCCTCGGACACGAGATTCGGTCTCGGAGGAAGAGGAGGAGTCGCTGATCTTGTCCAGGCTCTTGGTCCAACTTGGAAGTCTGTGCTTGTTCGGAGGTGGCCTCCTCCTCCTCTTGCGTTGGTTGGAGCTGGAGTCGGAATCGGAGAGGGAGTCGTGGGAGGGATCGTCTCGACCATGGTGGCTGATCTGGGATGAGAGGCTGTTGGAGGCGTGGCTGGAGGAGCTCGGGAAGGAACGGGTGGTCCGGTCGAGGAGGGGGAGGTGGGAAGAGGGCGCTGAGGGAGGGAGAGTGGGAGAGGTGGGAGTGACAAGGGAAGAGGAGGTGGAAGTGGAAGAGGAGGGTTTTGGCTTATGTCGCCTCCTCCTCAGGAAGAAGTCGTCGTCCTCATCGACTGGCATGGATAGGGGAGAAGGAGAGAGAGGGAGAGGGAGAGGGGGAGAGGGAGAGGGGGAGAGGGAGAGGGAGAAGTCGAGGGAGAGGGAGAGGGAGAGAGGGAGATGTGGAGAAGATGGCAAGAGATGGAGGGAGATGGATGGAGAGAGAGAGAGAGAGAGAGAGAGAGAGAGAGAGAGAGAGAGAGAGAGAGAGAGAGAGGGTGGTGGTGAGGGAATGGTTCGTGTCCCGACTTCCGAGTGAAATGACGTGGTGGATGAGAAAGTGAAAGAAAAGATGCGTGGCGTTGTGTTCACGGACCTCGCTCTCTCCCCCTCCCCCTTTCTGCATTCACTCACACTTGTTACCCACTTCCCTTTCCATTCCCAGCTCACCTTGGCTCACCTCGCTCCATCTCCCAACTTGCTGGCCTTCATTAGTGCCTACCTGGATGCCAACAAGATCAAGAGACCCCCCTCTCCACCAGAGTCTCTCCCTCTTTCTCCCCCTCCCTTTCTCTCCCACGCGTATAACCCAACACACTCCTACAAAAGTCAGACCCGAACAAGGATTCCTGAAGAGAACACACACACGCACACCCTCAAGAGACCATGTTCAGCAACGAGATCGCTGCCTTGACAAAGGCTCCCATCCGTTCGCTCCTCATCCAGGTCCTCAACTTTGTCACCGTCATCTCCACCGCTCTCGCAATGTGGAAGGGCCTCGCCGTCTGGACCAACACCGAATCTCCCGTCGTCGTCGTCCTCAGCGGAAGCATGGAACCCGCCTTCTACAGGGGAGACCTCCTCTTCCTCAGCATGCCTGACAAACCCCTCAGGGTAGGAGACATCCCCGTCTACAAGATTCCCGGCATGGACATTCCCATCGTTCACAGGGTGATTGAAATCCACGACGAGTGAGTACACTTCCCCTTTGGGCTCTGATCGGATTTCAAAGAAGAGAAAAAGAACCACGGACCTGAGCTTGATCTCCCTGCCCAATCCTCTTCCTTTCCCTCTCCCCCCATCTATTCTTTTCTCCTTTCCCTTCCAACAACCCTTCCCCCTTCCTCCGATCCACTCAGGATCTCCACTGGCGACCAGCTCATCCTTACAAAGGGGGACAACAACGACAGCGACGACATCTCGCTCTACCAGGGTCCGAGGTGGATGAAGAAGAAGAACATCATCGGTCAGGTCAAAGGGTGAGAGCCATCCACCCCCTTCCTTCCTCTACCATTTCGAAGACCATCCAGCGAGTCACATGGCTGTAATCCCTCATTTCCTTCTTGCCCCCCTTGGTCATTCGACACTTGCCCACTTTCCATCTTCCTCTTCCTTCCTCCCCTCTCCTCCCCTGCAGATACATGCCTTACGTCGGATACGTCACCATCGCCCTGAACGACTACCCGAAACTCAAGTACGCCCTTCTGGGTCTCATGGGTTTGTCTCTCCTCTTCCAAAAGGAATGAAGGAGACGATTCAGGGAAAAGCATTCAGGAAGGGTTGGAAGGCGTCCGTGCTGATAGGTTGAAGAAGATTGTTGGATCGGGTCGGATGCGCTGGGCGGATATCAAAAAAAAAAGGCAAAGATATGACACTGGAAGGAGACTCATCAAACATCGGAGATCGGGGTATTTGCAGCCCAAAGGAAAGGTCAAAACTTGGTTCTTTGGGGTGGGTTGAAGGAAATCGAACCCCCATCTGTAAAAGTAATGCTGTAGAACCTCAACCGGCCCTCATGCCTCTTGCGCGAAACTCTTGTGAAAAGCAAGAGAAGAGAAACCAACGTCAGGCGTTTGAGATGAGCGACTTCGTTTCGTCGATTGGCGAAGGAGCGGATTTTGGGGGGAAGGAAGGGGGAATGGAGGGGGAAGAGTGAATGGAGGGGGAGAG